GGAAGTGATATACGTACACAAATTAGCCACAATCCACATCTAACCTGCTGTTTCTTATGAAAGATTACATTTTGATGCACTTTCCCCCCAACCAGCTTCAAATCAAATTAAGAAAAGAATGATAGCTGTGTTTTAAGCCACTAATGTGTACACAGCTTAGTTAAGGATTGACACGGGCAACAATTTAATAAAGAGTTAGCTGCACTTGAGCCTGCATTATTGGCTGCAGGTCTCTGTTGCGTCTACATTCAGCGGGAACCAGGATTCTTTCTAATGGGTGAGGCATATAGGGATGTACTTTGAGACTATCGAAATCCTACTAACTTTAGCATTAATTTCAGCCAGCGAACTCTGTGAAGGGATTGCAGCCAGTTTCTTTAAAAGTATAGCTTCTTTTCTCCTCTCTCCAATTTCCTTTTCAGAAAGCCTGGGTGGATTGCAAGTGTGCATCAAAGTTCTGCTGCTGCAGTTTTGGGCAGCAACCAAAAATGAGGGTGTTCAGATTGAGTCAGTTGGTAGAGCTGTGCCCATTCACAGAGTCTGGTCATCACAAAGAGAGTTTTTATCTATCATATATTTACCCCAACTCTCCTCTAAGGCAGGGGTGAACCCATGACCCTTGGCATGCGTTGGACTACAGCTCCCATCAGCTGTGCCCATTAGCCGTGCTGGCTAGGGTTGATGGGAGTTGGGGCACAGTAACATCTGAAGGGCCACTTGCTCACCCCTTCTCTGAGGAGTTTAGAGTCCTGTACATTAAGCGCGGGTGGCGCTGTGGGTTAAAGCCTCAGCACCTAGGACTTGCTGATCGAAAGGTCGGCGGTTCGAATCCCCGCGGCGGGGTGCGCTCCCGTTGCTCGGTCCCAGCGCCTGCCAACCTAGCAGTTCGAAAGCACCCCCGGGTGCAAGTAGATAAATAGGGACCGCTTACTGGCGGGAAGGTAAACGGCGTTCATGTGCTCGCTGGCTGCCGGCGTTTACCTCCAACTGACCCGGAAGTGTCTCGATGCGCTGCCCCCCCAGGACACAACCTAGATGTAAGACTGCTACGGCAGAACCTTATCCTTACTTTACATTAAGCATTCCTGTTTTACCTTCACAACAACCTCCTTTGATAGTTGAGAGATGGTGACTTGCTCAAGAAGACCCACCAAGTTTGTTTAATGGCTGAACACAGCATTAAATCCAAGGTTTCCTGGTTCACAACCAACACTCCATCTGCCACACTGCCCTGGTTCCCTAGAATGCCAGCCTGCCATGCACAGCCTTCTTTTTCTGGTCTATCTGGTATCTCAGTTTAATGAAATGGAAGCAGATGTCTTGCAAGAGCTAAAAAGGCAGAGAGAGAGAGAGAGAGAGAGAGAGGGATGATTTTTGCAAGAAAAGTGGTGGGAATGAGATAGGTACAGTCTTTGGGCAGGAATAAACAAATGCCTTTCCATTTATAAAACTGCAAAGGCATTGAGTGTGTGCAGGTTCCTTCTTTTCGTTTTAGATTAAAGGCAAGGAACATCCCTGTTCAGCTTACAGAAGAAGATATTGCCTAATGATCTCTGAAAACTTGTCCAGCAGCAAAGAACAACTTGTTGGCACACCCAGTAACAAGCAATAAACACAACATTTGTCCAGGTGTTGTGGGAAAATCCTCCCTAAAGCTGTTTTATTTTGCTTATGGCAGAGGCTCACAGTTTGGTTTCTTAGGTGTGCTGAGACACTCCCAAGCCTCCCAACCAGGTATTTATGGACCCTGAGAAGATGATGCCTACGAGCACCAGAGGCAGATCCTAGATGGCTTAATAAGAATGACTGAGACAAACCCCTGATGAGGCTGAGGAAGGGGGCTGGTTGCTGATCTGGAGGGTTATACTGTAGGGCAGGAGGAGCCAAGATTGTGCTGGTTTGCTGTTTCTGAACTACAATTCCCATCATCCCTGATCACTGGCACACTGGCTCAGGCTGATAGTGCTGGAATCCAGCAACATCTGTAGGGTACCATACTGGGTATCTGCTGTAGGGTGCTGAAGAGTGGAATTCACCCAGTTTGTACTCCAAAGAACCCCAAATCTCCAAACCAAAAGACTCTACTTGCTGAGACTTTACACTAGGAGAGTCCAGAATTTCACTGCCTTATTCTACATGATGCATAGATCTGATTTCAGGAAGCAGCCTTCAAAGTTCTTGCAGAGCTTAATAAAAATCTATGCATGTGAAAGCACTGCTCTCAGGCACTGATATCCGGGGGGGGGGGAGAGTATCAGGTAAATTGGAATGATGTTAGGTTAGCTTGGAACAGTATGTAGCAATCAAAGTCATGAGATCAAAAGTACCTACAATTTTGTCTGGTTTTAATGGAATACCTGTTGGGAGTTCTCTGAGAAATGGGTGGATACTGTAATCATAAAACATGCTTGAAAATCACAGTCCTTCCAGACTGTCACTTTATATCACTAGAGAAAGATAAAGAATGGCTTTCTCATCCATCCTGGGAACCACACACTCAGCTTTAAGCAGGCCAGATAAAGTCTGCAACTGTCTTCAACATTCAGGGCTATCAGGACTGGGAATCCTTCAATCTCTTTGCCCCTGACTTCCCTGTCCCTTAGCTTTCCCATGTCTCAAGATCTCTTCTCAATCTTACTGGTCATGCTGAAGCTGAATGAGGTTTAGTGCCAGCCAAACTGACAATCTATCACTCCATCATAGGAGTACAAAGTGTTCTGCATCTGAACATTCTATGAAACCAGACAAGCTCAGCTAATTTCAATAAAAGGATTCATCCTCTCATGCACAATACAATAGAGATCCCATGAAGATCTGGCAAAACAGCACTACTGACTGGCTAGAAGCCAGTTATCCCTGATCTAGAAGTATCAAAGGTTATTAAATCTGCTGGTATTTACTCTTCAGCACCTCATTTAGGGCTGCAATGAGTGTGTACAAGTGCTAATAACAGGTGTTGTGAACTAGATTCTAGGCTTCAGTCATTGACAGAGCTTTTGAAACCCTATAAAATGTCTGGTGGCCAGGGTCATGCAATTAATTTGGGATTCCAACGCTTTGTTGTTGTTTAGTCATTTAGTTGTGTCCGACTTTCATGACCCCGTGGACCAAAGCATGCCAGGCACTCCTGTCTTCCACTGCCTCCCACAGTTTGGTCAAACTCATGTTTGTAGCTTTGAGAACAGTGTCCAACCATCTCGTCCTCTGTCACCTTCTCCTTGTGCCCTCAATCTTTCCCAACATCAAGGTCTTTTCCAGGGAGTCTTCTCCTCTCATGAGGTGGCCAACGCTTAATGAGCTGCAAATGAATGAACACTTTAAGCCTTAACAGGTGTATCTTAGAATGAGCAGCAATGCAGCTGGGCTGAATATATTTTGAAAAACGAAATAAATCATTCATGCCAGGTTTTCTGCTCATTTGCCTGTGTGGTAATATGCATGTGGCAAAGGTACTAGAAATTCCAGTTCTAAATCTGCAGCCTCTGAAAGGTTCGTAAATATAATAACTACAAGAGCAATTTATATAATCCACCTGAAACAAGTCCTGCATCAGAAGTTTTCACACCATAAGCAGTAAACAAACGATGACTGATGCAAGTGCAAGTGATTAGCATGTTTCCATTAGCATATTTATTAACTTCAAATGAGTTGCTCTTGGAAAGCTTTTTGTAAGGTTTGGGAGTGGTCGATTCATTTGTTGCAAATAGATAACAGTATGTAGCAACCGTTATGCAAACTTCTCTTCAGCTGCACATTCTGATGCTAGGCAGGGGTGGGTTTTTTTGTTTTTACTATATTCGGTTTCATTTCGTTTCTGTGAAAAGCAGCAATACGTACAATAAAGGTAGCTAGGAATAAATTTGTCAAACTGGGGTGACTGGGACTAGGACTGGGAAGCATTTTATTCTTTGGTGTGTGGGTGTATCACACAAGCCTAATGACCAGGAGCTGGCCCTAGAGGCAGAAATCCACTCAGTGAGGGTCAAGCCTTGCATCCAGCTTGTATCAGGGTGCCTGCAAATAGTCAGCATTTTGTGTGAAGGATTCATGTGCACACCGAAGAAATTTAGGTTTGCTCAATTAAAGAGGGTTAAAGAGCTGTTCCCCCAGCACACCAGATCCACTTTAAAAAAAAAGGAAATTTAAAAGATTGCATCTAATACTTAAAATAGCAGTCCTGAACACCCTTCAGAAACTGGGTTTTGCCCCTCAAGCCCTTCTAAGTCTGGGGTTGGGCCAGGCAAAAGCTACAGTCAGGCAAGGAATCATAGACACCGAGAGACAACAGGTGCCCCGACTATAAAATTGGAGCAATCAACAGAGAGATAGCCGCACTGGCAGCATCTCTCTTCTTTCTCGTATCCAAAAATGCAAGAAGGTCTTTTACACTCGCCAGAAGCTTGGCTCTGCCCTTGCCGGTCCTGGAAGGATCCTTTTAAAAAGCCCCGTATGCTCAGAGACTTTGCACCTGTTCATTGGGGGATATAGGAAGCCCAGAGCTCTTGTTCTTTAGATGTCCCTTTTATGAAGAGGCACGTAGTGAGACCATTGATCCCATGCTGGTGAGTATTGCTGACCTCCCGGAAAAGCAAATATTTGACTTTTTCCTGTTAGACAAAGATCATAAGATGACCTGGATGGTCCTCAGATTCTGTATACAGATCTGTAGGTGCAGACCATCCCCCAACCCAAACTAGTTCATTAAGAAAATCCCCAAACTCGGTTCCATGGGTGACTCTGGGTTCTCTCTCTGCGGTAGCTTATCTTAAAGTTTTAAGTGTCTATACGCTTATCGCATTTATAAATCTAAAATTTATTGTTGTACATTATTTTAAATGTTTGTTTTCCTTCTGGGATTGTACCCCCAAGTGTGTTTTATAAGCTGGTCTCTGACAGTAAAAAATATTAAATTACTTAAAATGATCTCACAATAAATCCTCTCTTTCTCTCCCCTCTTCCTTTCTCCACCCCCATCTCCTATTTTGCTGCCTGATTCTTAGCAACAACCAGTCAAGCAGTCTTTGAGCTCTTCCATGTGCAGGGAGTCCCACTGGAAATGCCTCCTTCTCTCCATTCTCATGTATTGCTGCCTGGGAGCTGTAGCTTGGTGCCAACTCACACAAGTCACTAAGCTCAGTTTTGACAGCTCTTTCAAAGGCAAGTCCATGATCTACCACGACAGCCCTTGCTCTGACGGCTATGTCTACATTCCATTAGCGTTCCTAGCCATGCTCTACGTCGTCTACTTGGTAGAGTGCTGGCACTGCCGCGCCAAAAGCGAACTCCAGTACAAGGCCGACGTGGAAAGTGTCTATGACCGAATTGCCAGGATGAAGCAAGCCACGCCATGCATATGGTGGAAGGCCATAAGCTACCACTTTGTCCGGCGAACCAGGCAAGTGACTCGGTACCGCAATGGGGATGCTTATACAACCACCCAGGTCTACCATGAGAGAGTCAACACCCATGTGGCTGAAGCTGAGTTTGACTATTCCCACTGTGGGTTCAAGGACATCTCTAAAGAGCTCATGGGCCTGGAATGTTTCTCAGCCACCCGACTGAAATTCACCAAATGTTTTAGCTTCGCCAACACAGAGTCCGAGAACTCTTACCTGACGCAGAGGGCTCATTTCTTCACAGAGATCGAAGGGCTAGATGACTACATGGAGGTCAGGGAAGGCATGAAGCTCAGGAACATAGACTTCAAAGAGCTCATGATGGCCTACGGTGACCCTGATCACCTCCCATGGTACGTGTCCCACTATACGTTCTGGGTGGCTGCTTTGATGATGGTCTCGTGGCCGCTGAGAGTTTTCATAGAGTATCGGACTGCCTATGTGCACTACCACGTGGAGAAGCTCCTTGGGGTGGAGTACAGAGTGCCCACCGGGGCGGAGGAGCCCTTGTACAGATATCGCATCCCCAGGGTCAGCACTCAGGACAGCACGGAGCTCGAGTGGCACATCTGCACCAATCGCCAGCTGATCCCCAGCTACTCGGAGGCGATGCTCATGGAGCTGACCAGCTCTCCCGTCTGCAACGGCTACTCCATGTGCAGGTACAGCGAGATCACGCGGGGCTGTGAGCGCTGCCACCACGCCTCCAGCACCTCCTCCATCTTCTCCCGACACGCCTTCCATAGCTGCAGCGGGAATTCGCAGCTCTCCCTCAACACCAGCCGCTTCTCCCTGTGCCGGATCCATGGCTCTCACAGGACAGGCCTCTGGAGGAGCCGCAGCAGCAGCATCGCTGACCGGGGCGGCCAGGACGACCCGTGCTGCTCCCACTCGAGTCAACTGGCCCTCAACGAAAACCCACCCACGTACCATGACGCTCGGTTTTTCCCAGTGCTCATTGTGCACAGGCCTGAAGGCCAGGAAGCGAGGCACTTCTGTCTCCGCCGAGCATCCTGCCTGGAAACGTCACTATGAAAGGGCACCCTGTCACTTTCCCGGGACAACTTCACTGCCAGAAGGCTGCTTGCCAGTGACAGCAATACTAGGACGGCTGTGGGATGCAACTGGTTTAAAGTCCCAGCCGCCCACTTCTCCAAATAAGGAAGCATGTTCCCCCAGAAGCCTATGAAGGGTCAGTTCTAAGCCAGTTCACGTGTTTTGTTTGTTTCTATTAATTTAAAAGTTTTCCAACCCACTCTTCATTAAAACAATTCCTGGATAGGATGCAATATATAGGATCCAAACATAAATAACATAAACCAAAAGAATGTTAAAAGAGCACTGGTACAAGTCAGGCTGATCCAGTGAGTCTCCACCAAGGAACAAATTAGCAAATTTAACTAAAGTTAGCAAATTTAACCAAATTTAACTGGTGCTGAAAACTGACCAGGCTTTGTTTGCCCTTCTTCCAAGGAGCTTGGGGCAGTCTTCACGGAATTAGCCTCTTTTAACGTGGGATTATCCCTTTTAATAGTAAGAACCTAAGGAGAGCAGTGCTGGATCAGACAGAAGGCCCACCTTGTCCATGCCCATACAGTAGCCAACTAGATGCCCATGAGAAGCTCACAGGCAGGACATGAGGGCAATGGCACTCTCCTTCGTGTGATCTCCAGCATCTGGCAACTGGAGGCAATGTGCTTCTGAAGCTGGAGGTAGTCCCTAGAAATCATGATGTCCCTAGACACTAGTAGTTCTTGATAGCCTTATCCTCCATGAAGGTGTCTTATCTGTTTGTAAAGCTGTCCACGTTGGCAGCCATTGCTGTATGCTGTGGTGGCAAATTCCATAGCTCAACCAAGTGCTTAACTTAAGGATTTGGGCCAGGGGGAGAGAAAATGTCTTTCCCAAGACCATTCAGTGAGCTCCATGTCTGATTAGCAATCTGTGCCCCAGTTTCCTCAGCTGAAGGCCCCCCTGCCCACTGTCTAGTATGCAACACTAGCCCCCATTTAGATATGAGGTGGCAGAACCCACCCATGGTGACATTGGGAGGAGTTCATTGTAGCGCTATGGCAATTGTTCTGTCAGCGCAAACTTTTCAGTTCTCCCTTCTTCTCCCTGCTTGCCGTTCTGGGGTTTCCCTGGGTCAATTTCAGGGAGGAACAGGGGAGAAGAGGGAGAAAACCCCATTGTCTTAACGGAAGTCCTTTCACAAGCATCCACCAGGAAGACTAGTTAGTTGAATCCTGCCCTTTGCTATCTCATTTCCACCCAGGGGAAACTATTGTGACTGGATTGCAAGACATGACTGAAACATTTGTCTGAAATTCCCTTCTCCGTCTAACTTCCTCTTCCTCTTTAATACAGCCCTTTATTTCCCACATTCTTATGCACTTCTCTTTTTCATTTCCCCCTCTTTTTTGCATTCATCTAAGTATATGCATTTGGCATCCACATGTTTGACATCTTCTACCCATCACTGTGGGATGCAGGTGGCGCTGTGGGTTAAACCACAGAGCCTAGGACTTGCCGATCAGAAGGTCAGCGGTTCGAATCCCCGCGACGGGGTGAGCTCCCGTTGCGTGATCCCTGCTCCTGCCAACCTAGCAGTTTGAAAGCATGGCAAAATGCAAGTAGATAAATAGGTACCGCTCCGGTGGGAAGGTAAACGGCGTTTCCGTGTGCTGCTCTGGTTCACCAGAAGCGGCTTAGTCATGCTGGCCACATGACCCAGAAGCTGTACGCTGGCTCCCTCGGCCAATAAAGCAAGATGAGCGCCGCAACCCCAGAGCTGGCCACAACTGGACCTAATGGTCAGGGGTCCCTTTACCTTTACCCATCACTGTGAAAAGAGAACCAGTGTGCTCCAACAGTGGTGGAACATATGCCCTCTCTGCCCAGGGCAGGTGCGCTCCTGAGGGGGGCACGGCGCGGAGGGTTCCTTCCCAGGCGCAGGATAGCCGCTTGGGTGCCTGGAGCAGTGTGCGCGCCCTGCAACCAGGGGCAGAGCAAGCTGCCCATGGTGGACATTCGGTGCACCACCCACCCGCGACTCCCAAGCCTCCCCCAAGCTGTCAAAACAAAGGGGGAGGGGGAAATGCCGCCGGCAAAGCGGCGCAGCTCCCCCCTTACCCTGACAGATGGGGTAGGCTTGGGAGTCACGGGTGGGCAGGCAGCGCACTGAATGTCACCCCCCTCAGCGAGGGCACCCAGGGTGATCTGCCCCCCCTTCCTACTCCCCTGCGCTCCAGGCGCTCTAGGAGGAAACTGGTTTTCTAGATCCATTTCAAGTAGGGTTTAGGCTCAGTTTTGGCACAGAAACTGCTTTGGTTACGCTGTATGATGACCTCTCTTGGGAGAGAGAGACAGGGGAAATGTGTCCCTGTAAAGTCTCCTCAACCTCTCTGCGGCTTTCGATACTATTGACCAAGATATCCTTCTGGAGCAGCTGTCTGAGTTAGCAGTGGGTGACACTGCTTTGTGGTGATTCCAGTCCTTCCAAGATCTGTCCTGAGAACACCTAGTCTAAGTGTCCATCCTCATTTTCAGCTGGCTCTGATATAAACTGTTTCCATTCAACCTAGATTTAACTGGGCAGGAGCTCTGGGGAACTAGAAAAGATCAGCTGGCTTTAGCTGCAGGGGCAGAAGTGGTAATTGGAGCATCTGGGTCCCACACCTTTTATAAGGAGTGTTGGACAGACAACTGGGCACTACATGGCTATTTCTTGCCTAACTCATCCTGTCTCATGACACAGGAGACCATGCAAGGGAGGTGGAAAAAGCAAGAAGCTCCATTTCTGCCTTTGTGCACAATAGTATCGAAGGTTGTCAGAGGTTTAGATAGGATGCCGGAACAAATGTGGAGGCTTAGCCATGCGCCCGTGCTGGGATCCTAGTCTTATGTATGTTTCTGATTATATTTCTAGTGGGCAAAATGCATTACAGAATTTATATTGTATATCCTTAGAACAACCCAACAAGAGCAGCTGATGAATAATATATCCTGCCCTGCCCACGGGGGTTGGCTACAGGACCTTCAAGGCCCCATTCAACACCTATCCTAACTCTGATTCTCATTTTACATATAGGAAACAGAGAAGATGGCTCATGCACACATATGCTTCAATGTATGTCTCATTACTCAATTAGCTGACTCATGTGAACACAGAACTGTTTCCATGGGGGGAAACTGCATTATGAAATTTTAATTGTGGTGATACCATATTCAAACCTGCAAGTCGCTACTTGATGCTATAGTCCATGAGTGAAAAAGATATGTGTGAGGTGCATATCTCATATCACAGACCAAAGGTGACAGCTGCCCCACTTCCTTTTCACTGTAAGTCCCACCCCCGCTTAGGATTGCTTTTGCTTTAAGGATGCCATGGAAGAGTCCCCCCATAGGCTACTTTGAGGTACTACCCTAAACAACTTTCAACATATGTTATGACCCCTCCATGTGTTCATATCATGTGATGCAGTCATGTGACCCCAGAACTCCATTTTGGTTTAAGAGCTTGATGAGCAGGAATATGGTTTTCAGGATGGCTTGAAACCCCTCTACATGACTATCCTATCACCCCCAATCATATGAAACAGGTTTTGAGTCCCCCACAAAACTAACTGTAAGCCTTGAACTCCCATTTCAGTTTACATGCCCAATGATGGAAGAGATTGTTTTTGGTTGCCATCTCTACGATACCATGCCATCATCCTTGATAAAATAAAATAAAATAAAATGTTTTGTGTGTTCCCCAATCCTCCATGTGGCTTCAGGGTTTCCGGGGCCCAATGAACATAGAGTTTGTTTAAGGGAATCATGTAAGAACCTAAAGAGTGTTTCAGGGTTCAGGGGCCGCACAGAAGGTCGGGGGAACTCAAAACCCATTCCATTTTAGATAGACTGATGAGATGCATAGATGGGTCACAGTTTGCCCTGAAAACTATGATTAGGGAATCTCCTCCAAATAGCCCCTGGGGGATCCTATATGGCATCCTAAAGGCAAGAGTGATCCTAAGTGGGGGGGAGAGAGAGACTTCCAATGGATAGGGACTGGGCCACCTGCCACTTTTTCTTTGCGATATAGGATATGTTTGCTATTCTTCTCTGGTGACTTACCCAAAGGGACCTAGTGAATCGATGATGACTGTACAGGGATTTGAACTCAGGTCATTTGTCCAGTGCTCTCCCCCTTGGACCACACCAGCACTCTGCTCTCCTCAGACAATGGCTCATATGAAAAGAGCCTGAGCAGCTAACACTGAATCAAGATCATGAGCCTTGACCTCTGTTAAGAAGCGTGGGAAACACAGCTTTCCCTGCCTTTCTGAATATTCACTCAATCTCTTTAGATCTTAGAATCATAGAGAAGAATGTTAGAGTTAGAAGGGACCCCGGAGAGGGGGTTATCTAGTCCAATGCAGGAATCCTGCCTGCAGTTGTCTCTGGGAGGGCTTGAACCATCAACCTTCTGGTTAACAGCCTGACTCACTGCGCAACGACTGTTACTGTCTATACGGTCACTGGCCCTGGTGTCCACCCTTGTTGCCCCGATTCCTCTGCTTCTACACTTCGGATTTTAAAGCCATGTTATGTTAAGCATCCTTGAGTGCCAATCAGGAGCTGATGTAAAAATCTTGTATTAGAGCAGCCTTGGGCACTTTAAGTTTTGCTTTTCTTCCTCTTGTCCTCAAACACAGAATGTGGTGTGTTAAGCTACGCACCCTGGCCCACTCTCACACTTCCAATCCATACACCTTGCAAGGAACACGATGAGCAGAGATGAAATCAAACATTCATTTTTGTGTGATCTTCTCAGGTACAGCTATGGACCACTTCAAAACACCAATTCCCTTCCCATAATCAGTCTTCACACACACACACACACACACACACACACTGAATAAACCCTGGGAAGTGATTTTTTAATATGGGTGGCGAATGCTGGTGACCCTCGTTGGCCAAATGTTATTTGTTGTCTTTTCAGAGCAAAGTGTTCCAACCCCACAGCAAAGCAAATGTCATTAGCAAGCAGTGTCCAATTAGGGAGTGAGTCTTCGCTTCCATTATTTCTACCTGTATGTTGAAATTTGTAGTGTCTAGTATGTGTAGATAATTATATATGCATATCTGTGCACATATACGATTGTTTCTTACGGCACTGACTGTTGCATCACCTGAAATATAATTCCTTTTGGTATAATGATCCTGTTTTGCAATGGTGTGTTCCTTTCACCACAGAATTCGCAGAGTTTGTCTTACACAACATGGCTGGTTGCACGGAAAGGTTACTGGAAACAGTGCAAAAAGTCTTTCTGGGGTTTTTCCTGATAGCTAAATGGTATTCTGTTATATAAGCTGAAGGCTTACATCATGATGCCTTTATCTTGACAGACATTCTTATGGATTATCACATGCCCAGTTTTAACATAATTGTCCATCAGTCAACATAAATGGACAAACGAGCTAAATTTTGGAGGCACATTAGAGTCCATATTAAAATATGTGGTTCTTTCTGTATTGCATTTCAATTTTGAGAAATATTTAAGACTGAATCGCTACAGCTTTGAGTCAGTATTGAGTTGTTTATATATTTGTGAGTGAGTGTGTGCTGAATGCCTGGGCCCCCTTCTAATTCCTGGCTCCAGCATGGATTCAATTGCTGGAATAGCCAGGACAGCCTGGTAATGGCTTGCTAACTCTTCTTCTTCTTTGGCAATCACTCATAGCCAAGTAAGATTGTTTTCAATTAATATGGTCTTAAAAGTGAGTCCATAAATGACCGTGGAGGCCAGTTCTGGATCCACATGTCTTTTCACAATGGGGACATAGGTTTCCAGGCGGGAGTTGATCACAGTGAGGGTTTGCCAAACATGCCTTCTTCTTAGTCTTCCCTTTCGTCCTGAGTTCGAGTGTCTTTGAAATTCATGACACCTTTGGTAAAGGCTGTTCTCCAGTTGGAGGGCTCGCAGGCCAGTGTTTCCCAATTGTCTGTGCTTATACTACATTTTTTTAGATTTGCCTCAAGAGAATCTTTAAACCTCTTTTGTTGACCACCACCATTATGCTTTCCATTTTTACGTTCAGAACAGAGTACAGTGGTACCTCAGTTTTCAAACATCTCGGAAGTTGAACATTTCGGTTTTCGAATGCCGAAAACCCAGAAGTAAATGCTTTGAAAACCGAGGTACCACTGTGGTTGCTTTGGAAGACGATAATCAGGCATCCGAACATGACCAATCCAATGAAACACTGGTGATCTTTGCTTCTTCCAATACACTGACATTAGTTCATGTACTTTGCTCACTATGTATGGGTCATTAAGAGAGCAAAGCTGGACAAATGGATGGGCTTCTCTCCCCCAACTATCTGTTAGTTAGAAAGACAAAAGGCCAGAGTGGAAAGGCAGAGAGAGAGAGACAGGCCTGGTTTCTGCTGAAATCCAAGGCTGTGGCTATGGG